AACCTAACACTCATTTGACACCCAAACCGAGATCTAATTTTGTTTTAATTGTAAAATCTAAACCCTAAACCCTAAACCCTAACCGATATCTAATTTAGTTTTAATTATAAAATCTAAACCCTAACCACTCATTTGGCAACCCAAACCGACATCTAATTTCGTTTTAATTGTAAAATCTAAACCTTAAACCCTAAACCCTAAACCTTAAACCCTAAATCTATTTTGTGATTTCCTTTTTTTTAATTGTGTTTCTTTTTTTTTTTAATTCTCTAGTATTAATAATGACATGGCAAAACGATTGGCTATAATCTGTTGGGTGAATTTAAAGGTTCACCCGAGGGGTAAACCTAAGTATGGTTCTAATCGAACGTGACTACTATACTCCTATTAAATCTTAGGGGGTGATTGGTGTGATGCTGTAAAGACTTTTATTATATTTAACTTGTTTTGCCAATTCAATACTCCCTCAGTCCCTTAATAATAAATATTTGAAAAAATATGTTTCACAACAATGGAGATGTTTTGTATTTTCTATGCAAGATATGTTTAACATTCTCATTGTATATTGGATCACTTATAAATTAGAGTTAAAAAAAAAGTACCTAAAAACAAAATAAGGGTAATATAGTATTGAGTTGTAATAAAATTCTTAATATGGAAAATTTTAAACACCTAACTGAAGAAATCGGAAGGATTATTTCTTAGTTTATTTGAAATAAAAATGTTAAGAAGAAACTTTTATATAATTAAAGATAACAAACAGAGAAAGCTAAATTAGGGAAAACGTAAAAAAACAAAATTGTAAATTTTTAATTAAAAAGTATAGTTATTTTTAGGCCAAGGCATAAAAATCAAAACCGAAGAATTGAACCAAACCGAAACGAAAAAAGAGTTTTGGATCGACTATGGATACCACTAAGTATCTGGAATGGATCTCAGTCACACTATCCACTAGATATCGGTTCGGTTATTATCCAATATCCGTGGGTATCCGAATAGAACCGAAAATGTTTGGCTAGCCCTCTACAAACCTAGAACTAAGTCCAATACATTTTGATCCAATCTTTAACTCAACCTATTTTCTGTCAAATACATTTTTGTCTCAATAGTCAGTAGATTAATTTTTGTTAACTTTTGGGTATTTTTGGTTCTTTTTTGGGTATTTAGTGTGGATGTCGGATTCACACACTCAAGTATTTATTTATTTAGTAAGAAGGATTACTCTTGAGGACAAAAATAGATGTGTAAAAGCTATCAACTGGTATGAAAATGGCTATAGTATATTTGCTAGGAAATTGCGTGTGTTTTTACATGGCCCTTGGCCCTCTTACTTATACGTGTAAATGACATTTAATTCCTAATTACATATAATTATTCTCTCTTAAATGTGTCCGTTTCTGTCTTTGAGTTTATTGCTTAAACGTTCGAATTCGAATTGATTCCGATCTTCATGGGCTTCACCTTTTAGCCCAAAAAGTTCCGAACCGAACTATCCTTGACTTTGACTTTGTTCCCACCTCGCGGTACGACCACTTCGCCCATATCCTTCCCCTTGAACTGAGGATCTCATGGGCCTTATCTCTTGTGGGCTTCCCCTCTGCCTATGTGGCAATCTTTGGTTGGTCCCTGACTACTAATGCGGGATCCGACACCAACAGTTAGCCCCCCAAGTCTTTTGAAGTGTTATTTCAATTCGGAAGACTTTAATGCTTTAATGAACAAAGATTGCGGTTGGGAATTCTCTGATTTCCCGCCAAAATCCCATCACTCCTTTGATTTCGGCACTATCCATATTTACCCGCGTGACATCTGTCACCATTATGACCGTATCTTAATTAATTACTATTAAAGCGGGGAAAAACCTTCCCACTTCCCCCCACGACTCCCAAGACGGTTTCGTCATCATCACTTAGCTTGCGTGAGGTAAACTTCTTTTCATTTTTTACTTTACTCTTCTCCTTTTTAGATTGAAATTTCTCTCTGCTTCTCTCGCCAAATTTTTCTTCCCCGAACTTTGAATCTTCCATCTTTCCCGATGAATTCTGACCCCGATAGACCCGAGTCTCCGACTTATGACGAAAGAGGTTCTAGCAAAGACGAATGCACCCGTCCGAACGACATCGCCGGCCCTCATTACATGTCTACTTGTACTCTTCAATCTCTCGAACGATTAAGAGAGCTTTGCCGGATTCCGCCTGAACTTATGGCAGAATCGATGATGCCCGGTCCTACGGAGTCCCCAGAGGACCATCGTTCCGGCTACTTTTGCGTGTATGAGATCTATTTCAAGGGCTGCGGGTTAATCTTTCCTCTTCCCGAAGCTCTGGTCCGATACTTAGCAGCACTGGAGATTGCCTTACCCCAATTAACCCCCAATCTTCTTCGAACCATCTTAGGGATTATAACCGTTGCGGCGGAGGCTGGATACGTTATCGGAGTCCCCGAACTGAACGAGCTTCTTAGTGTGAGAGGTTCGTCGAAGAAAACTGGGTACTTCTCGGCGTACCCGAATGCCAACAGAAACCTTATCTCACACTTTCCGAACAAGGATGAAAACTGGCATCATCCTTGGTTTCTGATTAAGAAAACCCCTGCTTCGATTGGAAATCTTTCTGAGGTGCTCCCATCAAAGTGGTCCGCAAAGCCCGGTAGAAATTATGTCACATATACTTTTCCCGATCATCTTATTTTTTACTGACTAAACTCGTTGTTTCACTACGCAGCTTTCATCGCTCAGACTCTCCCAACTAAAGAATTCATCGAGTTCTTCAAAATAGTCCTCGAAGGGGAAATCCTTTGGAATTCCTTCACCCTTGATCGGTTCATAGGGGCCAATCAAAAACTCAGGATGAGTCCCCCCAGACAACTTCATCGTCTTCCACCTCCTCCATCAACTCAAGGAATGTCAGCCCAGGCCCTTGCTTCCCAGCATAAGGTGCTTTCCAAGCCGATGGCTGAGGCTTGCGAGGCGAACAAAGTGTTTCTTACGACCGCCATTGACAAAAAGGACTACAGTAGGACCTTGTTGGTTGATGATGGTATTGCTGAAGGGGCCAGATCTGTTGATGCTTTTAGGTCGAAGCCTCATCGCGAACTCCGTGGTGGTTGTTCTCCTCGGAGAGCCCGATCTCCTCGTCGTGACTCTCCTCGTTCTTCCTCCCGGGGTAGATTGAGCAGCGAACCGATTGCAAATTTGATTCGCAAAAAGAGAGACAGGCCAGCTAACGGTAGCTTTTCTCCGCTGAGGGACAAATCAAAGGCACGGACTGACCGTTCCCCTCGATCGTCTCCTCCTTCCCAAAAAATGGGTCCTCCTCCTCCCGTTAGCACGTCTCCCTCTTCTCAACCCAGTGGCGAGAAGACAGACCGGAGCGCGACTCCTCGAAAGGAAGGTGCTGAATCTCGAGATGCTCCCCTGAAGTCGAAGGCCGTACTCGTCCCTCAGACCAAATCGCTTTCAAGTTTGATAAATGAATTTTTTTTTAACTTCTATCTTATTTGTATTCTTAACTCTACAACGTTTCCTCCTCTTCCTTTACAGCAATGGAGAAAGAGGGTAACGTTTTCCGATGATTCAAAACCTGAAAAGATGCGATCCTGCCAACTTTCGACAGGTGGCACCCTATAATCCGTGAACGCTTCTTACTTCACACTCATCATTCGTCTCGAGTTAGTTTCGCTTCATTTTTCCGGTCTCGTTATTACTTTACGTACTGACTTACTTTCCTGGGTTTATTCCGAATGCCAGGCAAACAGTGAACTCAATGACATGGTTGAACTCTATGAGGGACTGTTGCTCAGTCGGGAACATGAGATCGACACATGGAAGGGCAAGTTTACTTCTCTCGAGGTTGACCTCCGCTCCCTTTCCGGCTCTAAGCAAGAACTGGAAGACCAAGTCGATCATTTCTCATCCGAACTCACGAAGACGAAAGGTGAACTGCAAGATCAGTACAGCCGGTATGACAATCTTCAAGATGAACTTTTTGGTGTTCAGGGCAGACTTTCCGAATCCGAATCGACTGCTTATACCCTGAATAACCAACTCATCGAACTTGATGCAAAGTACAAAGCGGTCGTCAAGTTGCGAGATTCCGTGTTGGCAAGGTCGGCATCAAAGGCTAGAAAGGAGGTCAAGGGACGTGGGATGAAATTGATTCAAAGGGTCATTCTTTTCATTCAAACCGAGAAGGCAAGATCGGAGCTGGAATCGGATATCAAGGAGCAAGAAAGCAACCTACTCTTGTTAGACCAAATCCATGAAGAGGATTTCTCCGAGCAAGAAAGGACCGAGCTAAAAGCTAGTTTATCTGAAAAACGAAGTCGTTTTGCAGCTCTTCCCGCTTCATCCTTCAACCCTCAGCATATTGAGGAATTCTTCACCGAATCACCTCCCTTGGGTGAATCGGGTTTAGACTGGGCTGGTAAATTCTCACTCTTGATACTCATCACCTACACGCTTTGTATTTTTGACTGATTGGAACTATCCCTCCCAGGTTCGAGTGAGCCGGCAGATGTTGCTCCACCCGAGGTCCCTGCCATACCGTGACCATCCCGGATGACGATTGTGCCGTCGGGAATGAACCGGGAACTTCTTCTGAACAAGTCCCTGCAAAAGACCCGAATGAAACCTTGCCAACTGAAGTCGAGCCCGAGATGGCTTCTGACCCGTAGTGGCTGCGTCCACTTTAAACTGGGGTTTGTCCCATGCATTTGAGAACTTAAAATTTAAATTGGGATAGGTATGTTTTCGACTAAGGAGGCTTTATATTATTTATTTTTTGAACAAGATATTTGCCTGAGGAGGCTTTTAAACCTTTCAAGTTATGATCCCTAGAGGGTTTTGTTTGAAATAGTATGCGTGTTTGCAAAGTCTGCCTTAAATAATTTTGGCCTTGTGTTTATGTTTTGAGATTCTTAGGCTGATCAAACCTTTCTCTTAGAGTGCGAGAACTAAGCTCGGCTTGACGCGAGTTCCCGATTTCGGGTTTAGTCAACTCGGTACATTTATTGGGCTTGGGCCTCAACTGTTTTTACTTTGTATTTAATGGGCTTTTTGTCTTTAATGCGACGGTTGCTCTTTCCCTTCCCACTCCTCGAGAAACAGGAAAAGCTACACGCCTTTGAGGCAATAATTGCCTTTTCTCAATTTCCAAAAATGGTTTAAACCATACGGGCACTCCATCATTATTGAATTTTCAGTTCCAAGACAAACCCTAAACCCATTATAAATAAGGGTTTATCTGCGTCTGAACTTTCTTCACGCACAATTAGTGAAATTTACTTGATAAACACTACGAGAATGGAAAACGAAGGTGTATCCCCCATCAGCCCCGTCGACCCTGGCAGCCCACTGTTCTTGTCCGGTGACGGTTTCGAGCCGGTCGGTGTTCTCTTTCCTCATGTTGTATTTCACTTCCCCTCGAAGGATAAGAAAGAGGCCCGCGACTTCATGGACAAGGTTAGCATTCATCTTCCTCGATCAAACTTTTCTACCTTTTTTTCTTAACTCACTTGTCTCTTCGCTAGGTCGTCGACAAACTTCACCGTATGTGCGATGAGAGGCAACGATTAGGTCTCAAAAGGCAAACACTCGAGGCTCGCATTGCTCGAGTGGAGAGGAAGGTGGGGCTTCGGAGAGTGATCTCTTTCAATGGGAGTGGAGGAACTTCGATTCCGTTGCAAAGATCCCGAAGATGCTTTGGATGTACCTCCGCGCTAGAGGTAAAGTTCCAGGGCCCGTGAATACACCGGTCAAAGTTCCCCCGTCCGACAGCAAAGAGGAGGATGAGGTGGAGGACAACAATCCTTGGAAACACGTTCGGAACGAGCCCGAAGTGGACAAGAACAAGGCATCCACTTCGGATGCCGAACCGGCTATGAAGGAGCCTGTTCCTGAGCCTCTTCCATAAATATTCCCGAACTCTACTGTCTTATTTCACCTCGCTTTTTAACTCTTGAACTCGTAATGGGCTTCGGCCCATTTTGTTTATGGAAACTTTTACTACTTTCCTGTTTCTCGAAATATTCTTGGAGATATGTCTTAAATGCATGATTGATTAAAGGGCATAAATCTTTCCGCGAATTACTCCGCTCTAGGATGGAAACCGCGGCCTACTAGGGATACAATGTCCTTATAAATTGTAACTTCATCTTTTCTTTATTCCTCATCGTTCTCTTTTCCTTTTGCAGATATGGAATTTAACCTTTGATGTTCGGAATCCATGCCAGACTTCTCCAGGGTCGGAATGATGGAAGGAGATGTTCCGAATGTGTCGAGTAGGCAGCCTTCTCCACCTCGCGGCTTCTTCAGGTCCCAAATCCGAGCTCTGTGTGCTTTGATCAAGGACCTCCAGACAAAGATCAAGAAATCGCGATGGAATTCATAAAGGCGCTTGTGGTTCAACACCAGAAGCTAACGTTGGAAAGGAGAAAACTCCGAAAAAAGATTCATCAAATGCAACGTAGGGTTACTGTGATATCGGGACTGTATGATGCCAATTCTCGACCTCGCTGGTCAAGGAGTTCAAGTGTTCTGCTCATCGAGAAGAACTTCCTAATTCGAAGTGCATGCGTGACGACACTTCGTTTTATTTGCTTATTGCTGAATAGACGTTGTTTTGTTTCCAGTTTTTGTAGGTTCGCATAGTCGAACTTTATTTGCCTTGTTTGTTCGCATAGTCGAACTCCTTTTTTCAATGATAAAATAAAACAAAATTTTATTAGTAGCTGAACCCGTTTCCGAGCTGCCTACGTACCCATTCCGGGATCAAGCCACACCATAGTTCATGTACATAATAAAAATGTGTGTTACTTAAAACATAAAACTTCTTTAGATTGACCACATTCCAAGGACGCTGGAGTGGCCTGTCATCTAAGTATCTTAACCTATAAACACCATTCTGAACCACTTCGGTAACAATGTAAGGTCCTTCCCAATTAATGCCGAGTTTGCCTACGCCTTCTTCCTTTGTATTGTCAAAGACTCGTTTTAACACATAATCTCCTACAAAGAAAGGCCTACTTTTGATCGTAGCGTTGTAGTATCGAGCTGCTGCCTGCTGGTAATTTTGAATCCGAATTAAAACTTGATCTCGCCTTTCATTAATGGTATCTAACGAATCATCAAGCATTGCTGAGTTCTCTTCTTCATTCAATGGTGCTTCTGTTCGGCGAAGTCCGGGCACGTTGAGTTCGGCTGGAACTACCGCCTCCATGCCATAAACTAAAGAGAACGGAGTTTCCCCAGTAGACCGCCTAGGAGTTGCGCGGTAGGCCCACAGGACGGGTTGGAGTTCGTCGTACCATCCTTCCTTTAGATGACTCAAGAATTTTTTGAGATTGCTCAGAATTGTTTTGTTTGCGGCTTCAGCTTGGCCATTTCCTTGTGGATACCGTGGAGTAGAGTAACTGACTTTGATTCCCCAATCCGAACAAAAAGCTTTGAATTCGTGCGAAATGAACTGCGGCCCGTTATCAGTGACTATCTCGTATGGAACTCCAAGTCGACATATGATATTTTTCCAAATGAAAGTCTTTACTGCCGAATCCTTGATGTTAACATATACTTCAGCTTCAATCCATTTCGATAAGTAGTCCGTCAAGACCAAAAGATATTGTACGCCTCGAGTTGATATGTGCAATGGTCCAATGATATCCATCGACCACCTCATAAACGGGTATGGAGAAAATAACTCTGAAGGTTGATGGATCAATGGTGTATGAAGTTGACAGCGCTTACATCTTTGGGCGAACTTAACACAATCCGTGATCATAGTGGGCCAACAATACCCCATTGTTTTAATCTTAAAAGCCATAGCCCTTCCTGACGAATGACTCCCACACAGCCCTTCGTGCACTTCGCTCATGACAATTTTGACTTCGGGCCCAAAAATGCACAGTAGATAAGGGTCGCTAACACCTCGTCTATACAACACATCTTTTGATAGACAAAATTTTGCGCTAACGATTCTTATTTTCCTGGCTTGTCACTTATTTTTTGGGAGCTTGCCTGTCAAAATGTAATGCTTTATTGGCTCCCTCCAATCAGCCCCCCAATCTTTAGCCGGAATTTGGCCGACCTCATGAAATATTCGTGGTTCCGGTTCGGGATGCTCGTTTGGTTCAAGGGTATCTTCTTCGATCATTGGCTCGGTCTCTATAACTGTTTTCGGAATTACGTCTTCTACTAGGATAACAGGTTCTTCGCTACCGCTTTTTTTAGATATGTTGGGCTCAGATATGTTCGAACCCTTTGACTTCCTCCGTTTGACGGGTGGTAGCTCTATCTCAGGTTCACCACGGTCACGTGCTGCTGCTCGAGATCTTGTAATGACGAGAGTTTCTTTGTCATCTTTAATGCTCCGTTACGAGATGCATTCCACCGGAATGATTCTTTTCAACTCAGGATCCAATGTTGATGCTAATGCGGTAAGTGCATCCGCGGTTGTATTCTCTCCTCGAGGTACGCAAATTAGTTCGAATTTCTTGAAGTTTTTAGATAGATTTTTTACTACTTCGAAATATGCTTCCATTCTTGAGTCTTTGGCTTCATAGTCTTCATTGAACTGATTAACTACTAGTTGCGAATCACAATAAGCAATCACTTCTTCAGCTCCAACTCCTTGTGCCAACCGAAGTCCGGCAATTAGGGCTTCATACTCTGCCTCATTGTTAGAAGCATTAAATAATAAACGGAACGACTGTTCAAAATTTTCCGATGTGAGAGACTCCAACTTGATTCCCACTCCGGATCCCTGTTTTGATGAAGATCCGTCTACATGCAATTTCCAAGTCTGATTCTCCGGTTGCTCTGGCGTGCCAAGTACTGGTAGTTCGGTCAGGAAATCTGCTAAAACTTGGGTCTTCATGCTGACTTGGCTTTTGTATTCTTTATCGTACTCACTTAGTTCCACTGCCCACTTCGCCAGCCGTCCAGACTGACTTGGACTATGAAGTATTGTTCGGAGTGGCTGGTTGGTTAACACTTCGATTGGATGGGATTGAAAATATGGGCGTAGCTTTCGGGCTGAAGTCACCACCGCAAGCGCGAGTTTTTCCATCACTGTATACCTGGTTTACGGATCTGTCATTGACTTACTTATGTAGTAAATCGGCTTTTGTTCCCCGCGATCCTCCAGGGCTAAGACTCCACTAATTGCATGTTTTGACACCGAAACGTACAAATAGAGCTTTTCATCCACTTCAGGTTTGGACAATATGGGTGGAGTAGTTAGGTACGTTTTAAGCTGTCCAAAGGCTTCTTCACACTTCTCATCCTAAAGAAATCTCTTGTTTCCTTTTAGAATTTGATAAAAAGGTAAAGACTTATCTGTTGATCTTGAAATAAAACGGTTCAAAGCTGCAATCCGGCCAGTCAACCGCTGCACTTCTTTGAAGTTTTTTGGAGATGGCATGTTTAGAAAGGCGTTGATTTGGTTTGGATTGGCTTCAATTCCCTTTTTTGTCACAATATAACCAAGAAATTCTCCGGATGAGACTCCGAATGTACACTTCGCCGGGTTCAGTTTCATTTGATATTGATTGAAAATTTCAAAACATTCCTCTAAATGCTTAACGTGGTCCTCTTTTTTCAACGACTTAACCAACATATCGTCTATGTAGACTTCCATTGTCTTTCCAAGATGCTCGTGGAACATTTTATTGACCAACCGTTGATAAGTTGCTCCTGCATTTTTTAAACCAAAAGGCATTACCTTATAACAATAAATACCTCTATCCGTGATAAATGACGTTTTTTCCTGGTCCTCGGGATTCATCATTATTTGATTATAACCCAAGAAGGCATCCATGAAGGTTAATAGTTCATTCCCAGCACTAGACTCAACGAGCCGGTCTATATGCGGGAGCGGGAAACTATCATTTGGGCATGCTTTATTGAGGTCTGTGAAGTCGATGCATACCCTGTCCTTTCCATTCTTCTTTTTGACCACGATGGTGTTTGCCACCCACTCTGGGTACTGCACTTCCCTTATAGACCCTATCTTTAAAAGTTTGTCCACTTCGTCATTCACTACCTTCGCTCGCTCTACTCCGAGTTTCTCCTTTTTTGTTTTACAGGCTTGAAGCTTGGATTCATATTCAGTTCATGGCAAATTATGCTTGGATCTATACTAGGCATATCCGCTGCCGACCACGCAAATGACG